GTGTGACGTTGTGTAATGAATGTAACCTATCTGGGCCTCAGCTTTCTCACCTGTATGATGAGATAACACCACTACCATATCATAGAGGTGTTGGGAGGATAGGAGTTAATTATTCCCTGCCAAACTCTTAGTAGAATACTTAGCCACCTTATTGTTTATATATTTTTATATCATAATCATTATATAAATATAATTTTCTACCTTTTTTTAACATTATAGCATAAAAATTTTCAGTATCTTTATATAATTTTCCATCATAATTTTTATTGATTGCATAATATTCTATCCATTATTGCTGAAGATTGAGATTATTCCAATTTTCCACCTTGAAAAATAATTTTGCAATGAACACCTTTAGGCTTGAGACTATTTTTGGAATACTTCCTTAGGACGGATTCACAGATGCAGAATTACTAGACCAAAGAATGATGCTCTTGATAGATATTATAATATCACTGTTCAGAAAGGTTCTTTCAATTCAGTGGCACTGGCCATGTGAGAGAGCGCTAACTTTACTTCCTCCTTGTCGATCGCCTGGAAATTGCATGTGAGAAATAGCACCTGGCTTTGACTTGTATTTCTTTTATTACTGGCAATTTGGACTTTTTCCTATATGTTTGTCTACTCATTATGAATTATTTGTGTTCTTGACCATTCATTTATCCATCCGGGTTGGGTTTCCCTACTGGGGGGTATACTTGATTCAAAACGCACCATCACTAAGTAAGGAAAGGGTGATGCATCAGATCTTGGTGCTTCACTCACATCTGCACTGCATACCACGGTCATCTTGGGAAACAGAAGACCTGTCTCTCTTCTCTCAAATACTCTAAGCCACTTTGGAAAACAGAAAGGGCACAGCTTGATCTCTGTGCTTTTATTTCTAATAACTGGCTATTTATAATATATTCGAGCAAGGAGGGTAATTAGAAACCACGAAGCACACATACTTCATCTCACTGATTAAGCAAATAAAACCCAGGGGATGGCATGTTAACTTGTGCTGTATTCCACAGTTGGCTCTGGACAGAGCCAAAACTAGAACCCGGGTGTCCGGCCAGCCCAGCCCAGCACAGCACCTGGCCATCTAGGCAGTGCTGTGGCCCCCAACCGTGCTTCCTGGGGGGCCTCCTACTTTTCACCTGGAGTGATATTTTGAGTAACAAAAGAGTAGGGAAGTCTTTTTGTCTAATTCCTGTCCATGCTCCACGTCACTGCATCCTGATGAATCAGGCTCATCCTTTCCGGCTCAGCATTTCCTTAAGGATAATGAAATAAGAACGTGTTGAAGACAGCTCAGCTCAGATTAGACCCCCTGTCACGAGTTCTGTATGTGGGCCCCAGGATGAGAAAATTCTCTGGGCAACTGCAGGAGCATTATCCACCATTAATTGTTGAAAAGCTTGGGGGAAAAGGGTGTCAAATTTTAAAAACTTTTCCCACCTGCCTAGAATTACAGTCCATTGAGCATGGGTGGTAAGTTTTGCCTGGGAAAATAGCCTAAGTGGAGGGACATTTTATTAACCTTCTGACATTACTGTGTACCTAGGAGGACATGCATCTTCCTCCTGATTTTCCTTACACCTTGAAAAGGTATTTATTAATTAATCACTCAGATCAGTGAGCACTCTCTGTGTAGACTAGTGTCTTCTTAAGACCAGAAGGGAATAGCATTCATGAGCCTCTGGTCAAAGAAGCCTCAAACCAAAAATGCTCACAAAACTGCAAATGCTGAAGCAAATAACTATAGTTTCATCATACCTAGTACAAATCTGCTTAATTTATGATGTGTTCTGTTTTAATGCTTTCTAAACTATTGATCTTGAAATGCTCTACTTTTGAATATTAAATTTTACTATAAGAATAAAAGTGTAATAACTTTCTCCCTTTTCTAGGTGTTCATTAGGCAATGGTTATTGTTACAGCAACTACTAGATAGGGTTGGGTTTGACAGATCTTTGATTGCAGAGATGTATGGGAGTACTTCAGTTTATTTTTTTCTCATTTAAAAAATTTACTACTCTACTTAGAAGTCATGTTCTTAGCTGTTCCTCAGATACTATCTTTTTGCTTAGCACAGCTCTCATTTTACCATGATTTGCAAGATAAATGAGTTACAAGTAAATGTATCTTAATAGAATGTTCCTTTTTTATTACTTTCTTTGCTAGATAAGTAAAGCTAAAAATCTTCTTATTCTCTCATCTAAAAATTTTGTAGGAAATCTCATGTTCTCTTAAAACAGAAAAAATATGTCATTGGATGAAGTGAAAGTGCATTAGGCTTCTAAATTCTTTCAGAAAGGAAGAGCAGCATATTTATGTTTCATGAAACTCTGATAATTATTTTACAGCAAGTGATACAATTTGATGCATGTGTTATATTTCCAGTTTTTTACCAAATCATGTCCTTTTTGCTTTTAGCAATGAAATTATTTCCCACATAACATTTTCCCCTCTTCCTTCTGAAAATAAAATTATTTATGAAACCGTGGCCTAGCAACAAGAATAAAAGGAAAATGATGTATTTTCTTACTTCAAGGAAGGTGATGAGTGTAATATACTAGAAAGAGCTCTGGACTGAGAATAAGGAAATATGGATGCCAGTTCCAGCTCTGCTAGAATATAAATGTTTGTTAGATGGATAGATCAGCCAATAGACAGACAAACTCTTTGGACCTCAGTTTCCCAGTTATAAAGTTTAGGACCTGGAGTAGATTATCTCCGTGTCTCCTACTACTCTAGAAGTTTCTCATTCCATGTAAGCAATGTCTCCTTTCTTACTGAAATCCTTTGTTGTGAAATAGTCGTCTTAAGGATTGTTATCATAGAAGGCATTTGATAGGTGTTAGTGTAGCTATACTTCACCTATTCTTTATTACTAATCTATCTCCTTCTGCTTGGAAACAGTCCTTACCTAATTATACAGGAAGTCAGTGATTCAGGGATGGGGAAGAGGTCTTGTTTTTTATAAACTTTTCTAGTGCTCTACATGTGATATTAATTTCCCTGAATTATTTTGCTCCAAATCTGAAATAGAAAATTATTATACATTTTTATACCTGTCCCCAATTCAGTTCTTAATTTAATGAGCCACGTATTCATACATTAGCAGAAAATCTTGCTTTCATGTTTTAAAGTCATACCAATTGAACATTTCCCATGATCTGTTTATTCTGTGTAACACTTTCATTCCTACAAATAACCTGCCCAGGAAAAGTTTGGAAGGACAAGGATCAACTAGAATGAGAGAGAGCTAGTTTGAGGGGAAAGAAACAGAAAAAAAATATGAGGATCCCAGCTTATCTTGAGTTAGGGTTTCTGGTGTGGATTTGTTATTTTGTTTTAAATAAATTGCCAGAATACCAGATATAGTCATATTGAAATTCAACAACAGCATCTATTTAATGGATTATTATACAGACATTAACATTATGTCTATGAAGAATTCTTACAAACATGGCAAATTGTAATGTGGTAACTAAGGAAACTGAGAAAAGAAATTTTACATTATAGTTTGATCTCTACTAAAGGGAAATAAAAACACTGACATATTAACTGAATTTCTCTCTAGTCGATGATATTATTTTATGATAATTTTTCTTTCTTGTATTTTTACTTTTAAAAAACAACCAGAGAATAATTTTTGTTAAAAATTTACACAACACATTATGTTGTGTATCTTTTTGCATTACTGTCATTTGAGATTTTCCCATGCCTGTACTCATGGAGGAATGGCCCCACAAGATAAACAACTCAGAGATGTTCAACTTACCCCTCATACCGGAGGTGATATCAGCAGACTCTGGCTCAACTATGGAGGAGAGAGTCCAGTAGCATCAGTAAGGGGAAAGAGGGTCTAAAATATGACGAACAGCTGCTGCATGACTGAGATCCCACAAATGCTCTTTGATTTCATTCAGTGAAAATTTATCGAATACCTTTTGTGTGCTAGATACTAGCACACAAGTCTGGAGACCTAAGAAGAATCTAAGAAGACTTATCTCGGACTAAAAGGAACTGATAGTTTTGGGGAGAGACAGGCAAATAAACCTTAGATGTGCTGAAAAAGCCACAGGAGGGTGGAGTGGTCAGCTGAATCTGGGGGAATTCTAAGGTGATGCCAGAGTCTAGAGTTGGTCACTAGGATGGGGGCAGAGTTGCACGTGGAAAAGCCATTGAGCATGAAACTATATGGTAGATTCTGGGAATTGTGATGATTTCAGCAAGGCTGGGCATAGATTACGAAAGAAATAAGGACAGATGTGGTGATGAAAGTGACAGGAGCTGGGTAGTGAGGCCTTTGTCCTGAAGATGACAAGAAGCCATTTGGAGGTTTGAAAGCTGTGGATTTACATTAGGTTTGCATTTGAAAGAGATTACTCAGGTGGTGGTACCGGGAAAAGGGAGAAAAGGGAGGCCAGGGGGGAAGCTATTATATAATGGCCTAAGCCAGAGGAGAAGCTGACCTGAGCAGCTGGGGCTGAAGGGCCAGTGACAACTCAAAGGAAGAGGAGGGGGACTTGAGAGGCAGTGAAATATAGACTGAGACCCGGTAGCTTGTTGGATGTGGGGTGTGAAATAGAGGAGGACTAGGACGGACCCGGGGATATGAGTTTCAGTTTGGGACATATTTAAATTTCTTTCCATCCTTCTTTCCTCCCCTTCTGTCTCTTCCTGTCTCTCCAGCCCTTCCTCCTCTTTCTGCCTACTTCTTTCTCTCCATTCATTTGTTTAGTCATTCAGTGAACTTGTATTAAGCCCTTACTGTGTACCAGGCACTGCCAGCCATGTCCTAGGTCCATTGTCAACCACCCATATGTCCATGTATCCCCAACCATGAGGGGGAAGAAAGTCATTTTTATAACCACAGCTGCTGGGTGTCTCTGATGAAGACACAGCTTGTCAGGCATAAGACACAAATTGCTTAACTTGTTTAAAATGGCATTGTATAATATATGTTTTTATACTGGAACTACCATTAATGGCCATTTTCTTTGTAGGTAGTGCCATTATCTCTGTTACATTTCTGAAAGAAAATTTGAGAGCCTCAGATTTACTAGGTAAGTAATTATTTAATTCATATAATTATAGCATTGATTGATCAGGGTATAAATAATGGTATCCACAAAAAACATGTGTTTTAAAAACTGGAAACAAAGTTAGGCACAGTGGCTCACACCTTTAACCCCAGCACTTTGGGAGGCCAAGGAGGGAGGAACACTTGAGCCCAGGAGTTGAGACCAGCTAGGCGTGGTGGCATGCACCTGTAGTCCCAGCTACTTAGGCGGCTGAGGTGGGAGGATTGCTTGAGCCTGAGAGTTAGAGGTTGTAGCGAGCTGTGATTGCACTACTATACTCCATTCTGGGAGATAGAGCAAGAAGACCCTGTCTTAAAAAAATAAAAATAAAACCCTGGAAACAAATTACAGAAATGGTTGTAAATCTCATGTAGAGATGAACATTATTCTGTTTTTGTGCTGCCATCTCTTCTCACAAGAAATACTTTCATTTTCATTGTGACTACTGCCTATGCCATTGGCCATAGCAAATTATTATTTTATAATATTGTTATGAAATATTTATGAACATAATAAAATTCAATGAAAGTAGCTGTGTTACCTAATAGACAATTCCACTTTAAGGGACATATTTGTTATATTCTTACGCAAAAGTACTGCATAAAAATGAGAACCACAAAAAAATTAGATGCACCAACCAACTACTAAATTTGTAGTTAGCACTTTTCAAAAGTAACATGGAACATTGTTCTTCAAATTTTTATTTGGAAATAATACAGTTATCAATGGAAAATAATAATAGCCTTCCTGGCTGGAAGAAAGACTTCTGTTGTATAGCAAAGCCATCATTTACTCATTGTATCTTTTAGCTCTTGTTGGAAATATCATTGTTGAGAAGAATTATAGAGATTCATATTTTCTTCCTTGACAAAGTCCTATTCGAACTGCTGCTGACATATGATAATGAATATAGATACTTTAGGCACTTTAAATAAAACAATGCTTACTCTCTTCCAGGGAGATCATATTTTTTTAAAAATGTGAGCTATAAATGTGACACCAGTGTTGGTATGCTGAGCATTTGTTTTCCCTGATCATGTTTCCCTTGAGCCTAACGTCTTGAAAGTGCTTTCACGTTTTCTTTTCCTCCTGGGTTTGATTCAGCTAGCAGATCTTTTTAGTCAACAATGTCAGATTTTCATGGTTAAATTGTTTTTCTAAATATATTCACATGTGGATTGTATCTTTTTTCAACATTATTTTTTATACTCTTTTTTATATATTGTGGTTTATGGAATCATCTGGGGACGTTGTATGGAATCAGAAATAAGAATGACCAATGCCTGAATTTTATACATTAAAAATTAGTTCCTATATCGTTTTTCTCATTTATTAAATGTCTGAAGGAACTTTAAATCCTTTTATCTAACGTCTGTCATCTTTTGTGGTTAATGGTTGATTAATGATTAAATTAATCTAAGGTATTAAATGAGATAATGCAGATAAATATAAAGGAGGATTATCTTGAATATTAGTGATAAAAAGATGATTAAGACAGAATCCCTGCCTTCAAATAATTTATAGTCTGTGATAAAATATATATAGAGAGAAGGGTTTTTTTAAGTAGAAAATAATATGTAACATAATGCCATGAGCTTTTAGTTTAGACCAGTGTCTCTGAACCTCGGCATTACTGACATTTTGGACCAGATAATTCTTCATAGTAGGAGGCTGTCCTGTGCGTCGTAGGATGTTTAGCATCCCCTCCTGGCCTGCGCCCACTAGATGCCTCTAACACCCTCCCGCCCCCTGTTGACAACCAAAATGTCTCTTGACATTGCCAGATGTCCCTGGGGGACAAAATTACCCCAAGTTGAGAACCACTGGTTTAGAATAAAGAGAGATTACACTAGCTAGGAATATCAGAGATAATTTTTAAAGTTTTAAAGATAATTTGAATTGGTTCTGACAACTGGGTAGGACACACATAGGCTATATCCGAGCATTTGGAGGAGGACATACAAAGGGAAGAACATGAGAAATGCTAACAAAGGTGCAGAAAGGTAAAGTGAGTTTCTATTTAATACTGTATGATAACTGCTGCCTCTAAGGATCAGGAAAAAAATAAATGAAAGTAGGAACTATGGAAAAGAACAAGTACAAATATCAATATGTACAGCTAAAACTTAGAAAACTCAACATCAGCTAAATATTACTAAAAGCAATAAACTAGCTCAATATTAAAGGATATAAATTAAACTCATGCTCATGACTTCAAATCTGGATTCAACTTCTGCTATCAACTGTGTGGCCAACCTACTATTGAAGCCTCAAGTGCTGACAAATATATGACTGTTTGGAGGATGAAATTGGATAATTCATTTCAGAGCACTCTAAGAAATGGAAAGTTCTGTCAATATAATTGTCATACTTTCTACGATTACCTTCATTCCCAAGAGATTTCTAAGAGCTAATACTAAAAATATAACATAAGGACTGGGAAACATACACACACACACACACACACACACACACACACACACACCAAGAAAGCAAATTACCAAAATAAAACCTCCAATTAATTATTTAGGATTCTTTGCTAATTTCTTGTATTTTAATAACAGCTAATATTTATTTTAAAATTCACTCTTGCTAGATACTATGTTAAGTGTTTTACATGGACTATCTCATTTAAATGTTGGAATAACCCATTTACAGAAGTAAAATAACATGCCCAAGGTCATATAACTAGTATGTGATGGACCAGCATTCTAACAACAGCAACCTAATATAGTACAACAGCTTAGGGTGAGCCTTTACTGTCAGAGAGCTTGCAAAGTTACATAAGTAAGCTCTTTAAGCCTCAATTTCCTCATCTTTAAAATAAAGATATAAATACTCACTTCATAGAATTAAATTAGTTCATGTATATAAAACTCTTAGAACAGGGCCTATCACATAATAAGTGCTCAATAATGTTAGCTATTATTATCATTACTGCTACCACCACCACCACCACCACCACCCACCACTACACTGTACTAGTTAATGAGAGGAAACCTTAATTACGATATTTTTGCAAACTTTAGTAATCTAGGTAAGATTTCCAACAACTCTGGTTGGTTCTCCCCCCCTTCCTAACTTAATGCTTTTTGAGTAGGGGTATATAACTGTTAAGTCCCATTTGTTTCAAACTGTAGTTAAAAGTAATCACTTTTTGCCTTTAATCTTGTGTCACGGAGTAAAAAAAAGATTTAGTCTCCTATTCCATACCTTTGTCACCAACTAGCAACATCATAAGATTGTCTTTATCTGAGATGTAGTAACCCACTTCATACTTTAGAGAAGTCCAGGGAAGGACTTTTCCCCAATCTCACTCAGTAAAGTGTTAAGTTGCATGTATTTTCTTTGGACCTTATTGCTGTTGCCTTGAGAAAAATTAGCTCTTTCTGTTAAAAGCAAAGAATGCATTTTTTTTTTCTTTACAGGGACTAAAACCAAATAGGGAAAAGAGTAGTTAGTGGTGTTTTTTAAAGATTAACATATGAGCATGCTAAAAATTAAATTGTCAGAATGTGTAAAGAAAAACCATTTATTTTTCCCTGCTTCAAGCAAATGAAAGTTTGTTTTTCGTGATGGAACAAATGAAGACTTGGGGGCCATGTGGAAACAAGCTGAACTAATTTGTTGCCAAATGTTTCTCTGTGGCTATGAAGCTTTTCACCACTGGTCTCAGAAAAAATGACCTCACAAAAGCTATGTCTGAAAGGAATTGCCAACTATTATTAACTCAATGACAGGGTTTGGACTGTACTCTGATTCTTAGTGGATTAATAATTTTAAATTATTTTAATGATTATTTTTTCTTTTAAAAGCACCAGATTTTTCTCCCTTCCAATCAGCCAAAAACTATAGTATCTTCTCTCTTCTCCCTCACTCATCAGAAATACCAAATCTGATAGCCTGTGCAAACCTAGTTGATTTAAGTCCAGATAGTGTCATCATAGAAATAAAAATTCCAGTTAACTCATCTGCACTCTCCAGAGACCAGTACTTCAATTACTTCAAGTCACCTAGAAAGGGTTTCCCCAGATAGCATGTCAAGAGACACAATAGCCAAGTGACCCATCGTTTCTAGTTGAAAGGACAGATTGGCACTTTTGGTTTCAGAGTTGCTTCAAGAACAGGAGTCTTTCAGGTGGTGGGTCCAGGACTATTTCGATTCACTACATATTGAGACTTTCCAATCTAGGACTCCTTTAAGGTTGAGCTGCTGAAAGCCTGAGCAGTCTGTAGAGATCATAGTTACAGGAGGGGATTCCCACATGGTTTGACCTGAAGGAGTCCAGTGTGTTCTGGACTCCTGGTATCCCACAAAAGCACTAACGAGGCTCCCGTTGATTAGGAGATACACTGTAGGGCCCAGGGAAATCAGATAGCAATCTCGGTTGGTGTCAGGTTGGCTGAATATTAAAAAATCCTTTAGGCTCCTGGAAATCAGGTCAAGCCAGATTCCAGAAGTTAGAAAACAGGCAGTTAGGACTAGTTGGCGTCCAGCTGGAGAGTAGAGACAAAATTTCAGGCTTTGGTTACAGGGAGGAGTGGTCTGGGAAACAGGATGTCAGTTGAGGAAGAACATGCAAGTAGATCTTAGCATCCACAGCTTGCACAGGCGAGGAATTCAGCACGTGAGGGTTACCAGTGAACGAAGCATCCAAAGGATGGAGCCTGATTCTGGGGTGTTTTTCCTGTGACTACGTTTGCACTTCGTTCTCGGTCCATAGGTATCTATAGGAGACTTTTGCAGCAGCAGGCTAGTATCTTCCTGAAACAAAGGCTGCATTCTCACAGCTGGATCCAGTTAAATGTCAAGTATTTCCCAAAGTATAAAATATTCCCCAAAACGCTACTTGAATGCAATGTAAATGGTCAAATATGTTTAGAAAATATGACAACCATATCCTCCTCTGGGAGACTCATAGGGAACACTAATGCATTTCTAGAGGATCTGAGAGGTCTTCCAGTAAAAGAACTATTTAAGT